GGGGGGGGGGGGGGGCTGCGTGTCTGCGAGGACACCGCAGGAACACTAAAGAAGCGTCGAGGAGAAGGTGGACGGCGAGCTTTGCGCCTCGGCATTGCTCTCCGAGCCAGCGAAGGAGCCGGGCCCGTGTGCAGCGCTGGTGTGGAAGTCCGGCAGGTAGCCCGAGGAAAAGTCGCTATCCAGCACACCACTGTCACTTTGGAAGGTGGACCTGGACGTGGGGAGCCAGAATCGGGGGTTTGTGCATGTGCATATGGTGCGAGCGCGCGCGCGCGTGTGTGTGTGTGTGAGAGAGAGAGAGAGAGAGAGAGAGTGGCAGGGGGAAAGAACAAAGCAGCAGTGAATTACACCCACTCCCAGGGCAAGCCCGGGGCAGATGAGGCCGGCGCCGGCACGCACTGGGCGAAAAGGTCCCCGGGGGCAGAGGATGCGGCATTGACAGCCGAATCAAAATGATGTGAGGCTATGCTCGAGAGGGGACGGTTAGAGGTCAGGGGGGGGGGGGGGGGGGGGGTCTCTGGCCGCATGGCACTCGGGGAGCGGCCAGGAGTGGCCGGAGGAGGGGCATGCAGGGACATACCGGAGGAGTCGTCCGACACCAGGGCCGTTGGTTCGCCATCAGGCGCCGTGACATCCGAGGTCACCGGGAAGATGGAATCCGTGAAGTACTGCGTGGCCATGATGTCAGACTCGATGCTGAGTGCTGACAGGGGCGGCACCAGCATCGAGACCGAGGGGTCCTTGGTTAGGCCGTCATAGCCGGGGTAGGGCTCCGCATGGTCGTATGCGAAGTCCGACCGGGACGACGTCGCACGCGCTGGGTGCTGCTCAGCCGGCGGCGGCAGCCTCTGTGAGTGTTGATCGAGGTGCTCGAGGCCGGGAGGGGTGGACTCACTGTGTGTGTGTGTGTGTGTGTGTGGGAAGGGAAGGGAAGGGATGGGAAGAAAACATGTGAGTCACCTGACAAGGGCGAGAGAGGGGGCACACATGGGCTTATGTGTGTGTGGGTGTGTGTGTGTGTGTGTGCGCGCGGACGCACAGATGGGCCGAGGCCAGATGAGCAGGATGGTCTGAGGAGGCCACCGTCGCCACCATGGAGGCCTGCTCATGCGCGTGGAGGGTGCCGGACAGCGGGACATGGTGGTGCTGGTGAGGGTGATGCTGGTGGTGGTGGTGGAGGTGCTGGTGATGGTGGTGGTGATGCGGCGGCGGCGGCGGCGGCGGCGGTGGCGACGACGACGACGATGAAGACGACGACGACGCTAGTGGTGGCGGCGGCGAGGCCACCCCGGTCACTGAGCCGGCCTCCGACTGACGCTGATGCCCGGCATACGGGTGGTGCGCCTGCTGCAGGTGAAACCCGGACCCCGACTGCGAGTAGGCCAGCTGCATGTCATCGCCGGGGCCCGACAACAGCGGCCCGCTGTGGCTGGACACCAGCAGCAAATTCTCGGACGAGGAAAGTGGCATATCCAAGCCCGAGGTGCTGAGCGAGGCCACCAGGTCCGATGCGGCCGGGGGGTCGCCACCGAAGAGCGCTGGCAGGGCCACCGACCCCGGGGCCGAGGAGGACCGAGAGTGGGTCTGCCCGCCGGGACCGGGGCCGGCCCCCGCGTGGGGGGCCAGCGAGCCGTCCACCGGGGCCAGGCCGAAGGACGCGCCACCGGCAGCCGGGGCCGGCCCCGACCCGGCCGCCATCGCACCCCCGTCGGGTCCCGTGGACCAGGCTGAGGACGATGGCGCTGGCGGCTCGCTGGCCGAGGCCATCTCCGCGCCGAAGGTGGCCGACGCCGCCGCCGGGGGGGGCCGGGTGGCCCCGGGGCTCGGGGCCCCCGGCGGAGGAGCCGCCAATCCCCCGACCAGGGTGCTCTTGGTCACCGGCGGCACCGAGGCCAGGGGCGACGAGGGGAAGGGGGTCGTGGTGTCGTGTGAAGAGAGGGGAATGCCGCTGGACTGCGACCGGCGGAGGGACGACGCCATCGGCCGGGAGCCGGTCGAGAAGGCGTGATGGTGCGAGTGATGCTGCGAGGGGTGTGGATGATGGTGATGCTGCTGCTGCTGCTGCTGCTGCTGCTGCTGCTGGTGGTGGTGGTGATGGTGATGCGCCTGCGGGAGGTGGTGGTGGTGGTGGTGGTGATGATGCGCCTGCGACGAGTGGTGATAGGGATGCTGGAAGGGGACCACCGGGATGGCGGCCTGGGCCCCGAACGGCGGCGACGAGGGGGACGGGCTGGTACCGGCCAGCAGCGGCAGCGAGTGGTGGTGTGCCGCCTGCGTGTAGGACAGGGGGTAGCCGGCGGCGGCGGCCTCCGCCGCGGCGGCCGCCACCGCCACCGCCACCACCGACGTGGCAGATGCCCCGGCCGAGGGCAAATGCGCCGGCATGGGGGACGGCGTGCACCCGGTCCCGGTGCCAGTCAACGGGGAATACGGCGGACTGGCCGTCGACAGGGTTGACAATGAGGGGGTCGAGGCCGAGGTGACCAGGCCGCCGCCGCCGCCGCCGCCGCCGCCCGTGGCCGACGCCATCAGCAAGGTGGAATAGGGCGACGCGGAGAAGGGCGCATGCGGGCTGTGCGACCCGCCGGCAGCGCCGCCCACCAGCCCGCCCAGCGGGCTCGGCGCATGCGGCGACCCGTTGCCACTGCCCCCGGGCCCGGTCGAGTAAAACTGCCGGATGTTGTCGATGGAGAGCTTGCGCGCGCGCTTCGGCGAGCCGAAGGAGGCGCTGGCCTCGGCGCCCCCGGATCCGGCCAGGAAGCTGGTGATGTTCAGGCCGGCGCGAATGGGCCGGCCGCCATGGGCCAGCCCCCCGGGGTCCGGCCCCTCGGCCGGGGTCCCGCCGGCCGCATTCGGCAGGGACGCCAACGAGGGCGAGGGCGAGGGCGAGGGGAGCCCCGCGTGCCCGGCATGGCCGGGATGCCCGGCCGCCGGCTGGTGAAGGAGATGGTGCCCCGGGGTCTGGTACGATGAGCTTGGCGGCTGGGGCAGGTGCGGCAGATACTGCAGGCCGGGAGAGGAGCACAAGGAGGAGGAGGAAGAGGAGGAGGTGGAGGTGGACAGGACGCCCCCCGAGGCAGGCGGCAGCAGGGGCCCGCTGGCCGGGGTGCCGACCGAGGCCCCGGTCGCCGGGGTGGCCGGCGAGTGGCCCGGGAGCCCTTGCGGCCCGGCCGACCGAGCGCCGATCGAGATCGGCGTCGAGGCAGCCGGCCGGAGCTTCGACTGAGTGACCGAGCTCGGCAAGCCATATGCCTGGTAGGGGACATCGTCATCGATGTCGTCTTCATAGCAAAACTCCAGCCCGGAGGTCGGGGTGCCGGCCGGGTCGTAGTCGGCCGAGCCGCCGGGACCCCCCGGGCCGCCTCCCCCGGCCGACAGCGGCACGAACCCCAGCACCGGCGAGGGGGCCGGCGACTCGAAGAACATGGCCGAAGCGGCGCCCGGGTCATGCAGGCCTCCGCCGGGCGAGGGGGTGGCCACGTCCAGCCCCCCATGCACCAGCGACAGCGGTGCCGGATGGTGCCGACTGGCATTGGACAGGGCCGCCGCCGTGGCCAGCGGCGACAGGGACGCGGCCGAGCCCCCGGCCCCGGCCACATGCACCCCCGGCATGGAGGTCGACAGGACCGGCATCCCGGCGGTCGAGGCCGACTGTCGGCGGAAGCGCTTCGGGAAGGACCCGAGCCCGGGGCTGGTGGCGCCGGCGCCGGCAGCAGAGCCAGCGGCGGTGGCGGTGGCGGTGGCGGCGGCGGTGGCGGCGGCGGCGGCGGGTCCGGCACCCGGGACCGGCGGCGTGGGGGTGGGGGTCAGCGGCGACCCGAAGAGCCCGGCCGCCACAACGGGCGAGGCGCTCACCCCCCCGGCGATGGCGGCCGCAGTGGCGGCGCCGGTCGGCGTGGCGAATGTCGCCCCGGCCGTCAGGTGCTTGGTGCTGGTAGCCGGCCCGGACCCGGTGAGCCCCGTGGCATAGGGGGCCCGGAAGCCGGACGCGCTGCCCAGCCGGGCTGACGGCCCAGGCGACGAGGAGGTGCCCCCCAGCGGGGCGGTGGACTGCGGTGACGAGGACAGCGGGGGGCTGGTGGTGCCGGAGGAAGCACCATCAGGCCCCCGGGTCCCGGGGGCTCCGGCGCCTCCTCCGCCGAAGCCCCCCAGGCCCGGACCCGAGGAGGAGGAGGAGGAGGAGGAGGAGGAGGAGGAGGAGGAAGAGGAGGAGGAGGAGGGGGGGTCGTGCGGCCCGGTCGACAGGCCGGACGACAGGGCCGACACCGGGGGGCCAGACCAGGTGGAGACGGCCGAGCGGGAGAAGGTCGCGGCCAGGGTGGCCCGATCGGCCGGCAGCAGGACATCCCCCGGGCCCGGGGCAAAGGAGGGGTGGTGCTGGCCGAAGGGGCCGAGGTCGCCTGAGCTGGAGCTCGCGATCGGCGACGAATGCGCCGGACCAAAGCGCCCAATGGAGCCGGTCTCAAAGCCAAACCCCCCAGGGCCGGGCTCGGCCCCGGCCAGATGCATGAACGACCCCCCCGGCTGCGACGAGGAGTACTGGTGAGGCGGGTAGTGGTCCGGGTGGATGGGCTGACCGCCGCCGAAGGGGGACCCCTGCGACGGCAAGTGGTGCTGGTGCTGGTGCTGGAGCGGGTGCGGCTGCGGGTGCTGCCGATGCGGCTGCGGGTGCGGCTGCTGTGGCTGATGGGGGTGATGGTGGAGCTGGTGCGGCGGCTGGTGATGCGGCTGCTGCGGCGGCGGCGGCGGCGGCTGCGGCGGCGGCTGTTGGAACTGCAGGTACGGCGAGTGCTGGGAAGGATGGTGCTCAAGGGCACCCGAGCCCGGGAGACCGCCGTAGAAGCTGTTCGGGGCCGAGGAGGAGAGCTTGCGCGGGTCGCGCCCGCGGGCCACATCGCGCGGGCTGGTTCCCGGGTGGAAGAGGGGCGCCGCATGGGGGGCATCCCCCGCGGCCAGAGCCGCCTTGAGCAGGGGGGTCCCACTGCCGGCGAAGGCGTGCGCATGAGCCGGGCCATGGCCACCCCCGGGCGAAGGTTGCGGCGGGTGGAACAGACCCCCGGGCGAGGACATGGCCCCGGAGCCCCCCAGGGGGAACAGCGCCGCGGCACTTGGCGACAGCTGCCGGCCGCCGGAGGAGGCACACAGCAGCGAGTCGTCCTCGGGGGGGATGCTGCTGCTGCCGCCGCCGCCGCCGCCGCCGCCGCCGCTGCTGGAAGCCACGGGCCGGCTACCCGCCAAGCCGGGAGTCAACATCATCGCCGAGGAGTCCGGCGACCCGCCGGGCGACAGGGGGCCCGAGCTGCCAACCAGCGCGTCCTCCTCGCCAAGCAGGAGGTCCGGGTCGGACACCGTGTTCAGGAGGGCCAGCTCGTCACTGACCGGATCCGACAAGTCGGGCAGCTCGGCGGCCGGGGCCACGGCTGCCGTTGCGGCGGCCGCCGCCGCCGCCACCGCAGTGGTCGATCCGGCGCCCGGCGCCCGGTTGGCGGCGGTGGCCTTGGTGGCCTTGGCCGAGGCCCGGCTCGGAGCCCGGGCGGAGATCTTGCCCGGGGCCCGGGCGGCCTTGCCCGGGGGCTTGGAGGGGGCCTTGCCTCCGGCCTCGGGGTCGGCCTCGGGATCGGGGGGGTCGTCGCTGGCGGCCGGCTTGGCCTTGGCGCTGCGGAGGCGCTGGCGCTTCAGCGACCCGGCCACCAGCTGCGACGCGGCCAAGTCGTCAATCGACCAGAAGGCCCCCTTGCCGGGCTGGAACTCCGAGCGCGGGATCTTCAAGAAGCACTGGTTCAGGGAGAGGTTGTGGCGGATGGAATTCTGCATGTCGCACAGAGGGCAGGGGGGGGGAGGAGGGCGGCCGAAGGCGCAGACAGGAGGGGCACGTGCATGGACGAGCGTGCGATTGAGGCGATGTCAGTGTGTGAACAGGGAAGGAGAGAGAGAGAGAGAGGGAGGGAGGAGGGAGGCCATGGGGATGGAAAGGGAGGCCACCCAAGCGGCCCGGCTGAAACGCACCTGCCAGCCGGGGTCCCGGACGGAGTAATACGGATACACGGCGGCGATCCATTCATAAATGGCCGACAGGGTCTTTTGCCGCTCGGGGCTGGCGAGAATGGCCTGGGCAATGAGCGACGCATAGGAGTAGGGCGGCTTGGTCAGGTCGTCGTGGAAGTGCGGGAGACTGGTGTCCAGCCCGGGGAGGGTGGCCGCCGACAGGAGAGCCGCCTGGCGGAACTCCTGCGTCGGGGGAAGGCGGCTGCCATACGATGCGGCCGGCTTGGGGGCGGCGCTGGCGCCGGGGCGTCGGGGCCGGCCCGGGCCGCGCGTCCGGGGCGACGGCCGCCTCGGCCCGGCCGCCGAGGATGAGGGGGCCGAGTCATCGGAGTCAACGCTGTCATCGGGCGTCCGATCGGAATCTTCCGAGTCCAATTGCATGGAATGTCCGGCTGTCTGCTGGGTCGGAGCCATTGGGGCATCCGGGGCCGCCGGGGCCGCCGGGGCCGGGCCGGGCCCGGACTCGGGCGGGAGGCCGGTCTCCGCGGACAGCATGGTACTTGGGATGGGGGAACCGGCGTGCCCGCGCTGTGGGAGGGGGGCGGGGGGAGAGAAAGGGCGGGGATGAGCAAGGGAGAAAGTGAGAACAGTGCGCGCGAGCAGACCGACGGGAGGGGCAAGGGGAGTGGGAGAAACGCACGCCGAGGGAAATGGAGGAGCGCGGCGAGGGAGCGGGGGGAGGAGAGAAAGAGGGAGGGAGGGATGAAGAGGACGGGGGAGAGGAAAGGGGGGGGGAGGCTGGGGGCTACGCGTGGCCGATCTTGACGAGGGGGTGATGTGGCCAGCGGGCCGAGGATGAGCGCAGGACACGCAAGAGAGACAGCAGGAGGGAGGGCGATGTGCGTGTGCGCGGGTGGGGCGTGAAGGGGGGAGG